GGGGAGGAGAGCGGAGGGTGTGAGCGAGTGCGGGGCTGGGGGCCGGTGGCGGAGTCGGGGACAGGGGACAGGGCTGGGCGCCAGCCACTGTGGCTCTCCCCAGAGGATCCAGCAGAGCTGCTGGGCCCCGGGGTGCCGGCAGCAGAGCAAAGTGCTTCCCAGACAGGATTTCAAGGACGTTTTAAGCGGTTCTGTGGAAAACGTTTCGTGTTTATCGACTAACTGAAGCAGAAAAGCTGCTTCCTAGCACAGAGGGGTAAAGCTGGGATTGTTGGTAGCTCAGTGAGGAGCACCCACAGGGTTGTGCCTGTGGTACAAGAGAGTATGTATTAAACAGAAGGCTGGCCTTGGAGGGGACAGGCGGTGACTGGCTCTTGAGCAATCCCCTTGGTGCTTCTTTGTCTGCAAAAGGGTTGGTGTGAGCTTCCCGTAAAGGGTTTTATTTCAGGATCTTACCTTGCCAGCTATACCCCTGCTGAGCTATTTTCAGTATCCACACTAAGGACAGAGTATCTGAGAGTCTACCTGGTGTTTAGACAGCTGTGCTTCTTGCTGAACAGATCCTTCTTTTTAATTTGCAATCAAATTAACCAATGTGGAGAAAATACCCCTCCAACACGTGCACATCAAACATTAGTATATGAAAATGAGGTTAACCTTTTGTAGGTCGGTTGTTTGCACAAGTAGAGACCTACTCTGTGTGTCTAAAAAGCCCAACAGAAACAGTAATAATTGTGCAAACAAATTAAGTATTCATAATCCAATTCAGTGCTGCCCTCTTCTTGGATTTTTAAAAAGATTAGTCCTTCTGCTTACTGCAGGGAGCTAGTGTGAGAGAATTCTTCCGGATGTGAATAAGTTGTCCACAGACACTGCAGACTCTTACTCTCTCCCTAAGGAGGAGAGAAAAGCATTCTCAGTGTGCCTCAAAGTCTAATCAGATAGTTAGAGGGGCTTAATGAAAACGGTGGATAGAACTGAGCCCTTTTAACTTTGTAGTAAATTGTTTGCAGTTACCATTCAGGGGAGGAAACAGAGCAAAATTAGACTGCAGAAAAGCTAGAGGCAAAGAGACTGACTTCAA